ATTGTCCAAACCATCTCCCCTACAGCCACGTGTTGGTTCCTTCCAAAGTATTGTCCAAACCATCTCCCCTACAGCCACGTGTTGGTTCCTTCCAAAGTATTGTCCAAACCATCTCCCCTACAGCCACGTGTTGGTTCCTTCCAAAGTATTGTCCAAACCATCTCCCCTACAGCCACGTGTTGGTTCCTTCCAAAGTATTGTCCAAACCATCTCCCCTACAGCCACGTGTTGGTTCCTTCCAAAGTATTGTCCAAACCATCTCCCCTACAGCCACGTGTTGGTTCCTTTCAAAGTATTGTCCAAACCATCTTCCCTACAACCACGTGTTGTTACCTTCCATAAAACTGGTCAAACCATCTTCCCCACAACCACGTGTTGTTACCTTCCATAAAACTGGTCAAACCATCTTCCCTACAACCACGTGTTGTTACCTTCCAAAACTGGTCAGACCATCTTCCCTAAACCACGTGTTGGTTCCTTCCATAAAACAAACCATCTTCCCCACAACCACGTGTTGTTACCTTCCAAAAAACTGGTCAGACCATCTTCCCTACAACCACGTGTTGGTTCCTTCCATAAAACTGGTCAAACCATCTTCCCTACAACCACGTGTTGTTACCTTCCATAAAACTGGTCAAACCATCTTCCCTACAACCACGTGTTGTTACCTTCCATAAAACTGGTCAAACCATCTTCCCCACAACCACGTGTTGTTACCTTCCAAAAAACTGGTCAGACCATCTTCCCTACAACCACGTGTTGGTTCCTTCCATAAAACTGGTCAAACCATCTCCCCTACAACCACATTTTGATCCCTTCCAAAGTATTGTTCAAAACATCACTCATACAAACACTTGTTTTTCCAACCATGGCGCTTTCACCAATAGTCACAGTACCAACATCTGTGACCACAAAGAATTACTACCAGGAAAGGCAGCATCAAAGGAGACTTTAACCAAACATGATTGGTGCCGACGGTTCCTGGAAGTCTGTTCAATAATCCCTTGGTCGTTAATTATTCATAGATATATTACTTAACTGTGTTAAGTGAAGTTGACGTGATGCATCCTTGAACCAAACATGTTTTGCAAGGCGCTGACTAAATATTATAGTTGACATCTGGAGAAAAACAGCTCGCAGTTCATTCAACACATGACCAATAAAATGCTCCATTAGATCGATTCTGAAATGTAATGGCATTACAACTTATTACTAATTAAATTCTTAAAACTATTATCATAGGCTGTTCTTAGGATGGGATATGCCAATGGCAAGATTATATATTGAAGGATTCCCAATGGAACAGTGGCCCTATGCCAACATGTGCAGTGAGCGAGTACCGAATAGTTAACCTCCGTGTTGGTGAATGAATAAAGGTGGCACTTTCAATGTTGAACGTATGTGTGTTTTATACCACCGCAAGGGTCTATTTGTCTTCTGTGTCTTTAAATTCCATATTATGTAAAGTGTGGTGCGTGTTGTGTGATGAATGAAGGCTGGTGCATTAAGCAAGGCTCTTCACAGTCCATGTAGACTAACAACTAGTCTCTGAAATGAACATATTTTACTGAAAAAAGTTCACAGTAAAACAAAAATAAAATATAATGAAAAGGAGCCCTGAGACTGAAGCTGAGGAAATCTAGACTTGCCACATTTTCTAGACTTGCGTTGGCTTTCTTGGATATATTTGCTTCAGGGTCTGTACGACAGACTACAGTCCATGTTACCATAACGGTGGTGCTTGGTTCATACTGCACGGTGAGTGTATGCTTGGAGTGTTAGTTGTGTTGTATGTGAAGATTGAAGGATGATGTGTGATGCTGGATGCATGATACTCGGTGTGTGATGCCCGATCCTTCATGCGTGATACGTTGTGCCCAATGCGTGATGCGTGGTGCTCGGTGTGTGATGCCCGATCTTTGATGAGTGATACGTTGTGCTCAATGCGTGATACGTGGTGCTCGGTGTGTGATGCCCGATCCTTGATGCATGATACGTTGTGCTCAAGGCGTGATTGCGGGGTGCTCGGTGTGTGATGCCCGATCTTTGATGCGTGATACGTTGTGCTCAATGCGTGTTGCGTGGTGCTCGGTGTGTGATGCCCAATCCTTGATGCGTGATACGTTGTGTTCAATGCGTGATGCTCGGTGTGTGATGCCCGATCCTTGATGAGTGATACGTTGTGCTCAATGCGTGATACGTGGTGCTCGGTGTGTGATGCCCGATCTTTGATGCGTGATACGTTGTGTTCAATGCGTGATGCTCGGTGTGTGATGCCCGATCCTTGATGAGTGATACGTTGTGCTCAATGCGTGATACGTGGTGCTCGGTGTGTGATGCCCGATCTTTGATGCGTGATACGTTGTGTTCAATGCGTGATGCGTGGTGCGGGATGCGTATTACGGGATGCGGGATGCTCAGTGCCTAATACGGATGCTTGATGCGTGTTGCTTTGTGCTCAGTATGCGATGTGCGATGCTTGATCCGTAATGCCTGGTGCGTGATGCGTTGCGCTCAATGTTTGATGCGTGATGCTCGATGTGTAATACGGATGCTTGTTGCGTTTTTGCTCAGTATGCGATGCGCGATGCTTGATTCGTGATGCGTAGGATATATAAACATCAGCCTGTGTGAAAAAACAAACCAACTGAATAAAATTCAGGCTGATAAACTTTCCTTACCACAATCCCTCAACCTGACGACGTATTCCTTATGCACGAAATGTTCCAACAACTTGTAATGTAATAATTTGTTAATCACATTCTGTTCCAGTCAACAATGTTCAACTAATCATTACGCCCATGTGGAAAGTCTTTATTACACGTGTGTACAAAACATTACGAAGGAGACTACGGCAAGAAACCGGCTATGGCAATCGGTGTGTCCACAACATACAATCATATCATTAAGAAAAACATTCTAATTTCCCCAGATATCATGACGTTTTCTTATCACTCACGCCGGACACATTAAGTATGCTATAAACTCTCATATAATGAGATGTTTTCATGACTAGGAGATGTCTGCCAGAAATCCCCCTACCCACTTCCCCCACCACACTGCCCAGGACTGTCTTATGTCCCCCTACACAGCCAGCTTCTGTCGATGCATGCCGAGAATGTACTAATTAAAAATATATAGCGGCACGGTTTGTTATGATTGACTTGCGTGCGGGCAATAATAAAATCATTGATACAAATTTGATAAAAGTCTGACAACCAGCATGATTTATTGCCATGCTTTGAGTCGATGCAGATTTCCACCTCAGTGATCGTGTTATGTGATATGCTGGAAGTAGTTATGGGGAAATACATTCTCGGTTCTGTGACGTCACTCAAGCTGACCAATCGTGAAGTCAGTCGGAAAACGAAGTCTTTGCTTTTACACAAGCTGTAATTATGTAACGGGTATAAAAAGAGACATTTCTAAATATTTGTTTGCATCACAAATTAAGGTTTGTCAACTGTTGATAGATGGTTTTTTTCCAATCTTGTTGATCGCATAATTCCTCAGTGTAATACGTTAACTGTAACTTAAGACAATAAATATGATCGTCATTATCTGTAACATTTCAATGACTGAATAATGAAAATAATTTAATAGAGAGCAAAAGACATAATGTTATCAGAGGCGTAAATCTATGCATACATTGGTAATGTTTCCCTCTGCTAGAACCATTACCGTTGGTGATTCTATCTACTCTGACAGCGATGCGTCATGTGCTACTATCCAGATGAGTAGTCGGGACTAATATGGAGACAGACTACATTCCAGACAACTAGTGTCACTCGTTGACGCCTGCATCGGCAGCCCTTAGACGACTTCGCCGCCTTGCATTGCTTCCTTAGGGTCGTCTATTTGAATCATAATGGCCAATAGCGACTTGACCATAACGGATAATTACGTACTGACCCGAGGCGTATTTGGCAGATATTAGTCAGCAGCATTCTGTGTAGATTAGATAATATTTCATGTTGTTTAGTCCTCAAGCAAATAAACATGGGCAAAGAACCTCATCGTTGGCAATCGGCCAAATCACACATTGTAAATATGTAACGTCAACGCAAGACAAAAATTGGACTCGATTATTTGTGGAAACAGATTCCAATGTGCGTAAAGACAAACTAGCGATGAAGAAATATGAATGGATTACTGCAACTAAGCGATAACACCAGGTGTTCACAATAGGGTCAGCATGTCCTCCTCTAGTAGCACAAGCCGGTTTCCACAATGACCCAAAAAATGTATTTGTTCTTTCCTGAATCCGTACAACGGTAAATCACGTGCTTTAATGTTAGTCGACTCTTGCGAAATGCATGGATTCTGGGAAACTACTCAAACCGGAAATTGCCGGAACAGCGTACTTGAGATGAAGCAAACAAATAGACGTATGGTGGCTTTCTGGGTGTCTCACATACCCGTTGTCTTTCTGTCCATCAACTAAATGTGTTTGCTGCTGTGTTAATGTTATGCTATCATAGATTCGATTATGAGGACATGTATGTAATTACAAAGTAGGGTGTCATCGTATCCCAAATCGATGCTCATGATGTCCATCACTGAATTGTCTGGTCCAAATACCATTCACAGGGTGTAGTCACACAGCACGACATATTGCTGAATGCTGCGGTAAACAAGTAAACAAACCAACAAACAGACAGAGCGGGGTTCAAGTGGGGTGAAATGTTGTTGTAAACATAAAACGTCAATGCCAGAGAAAAACCAGTCTCGATTGTCCACCGGAACAGTTTCCATTGGCCACAAAAGGCACAACAACTGTGATACCAGTGAATGATTCACTGAAGTCATTAATGACACAAGTGAGTGAGTGAGTATGGCTTTACGCCGCTTTTAGCAACATTCCAGCAATTTCACTGCGGGGACACCAGAAATGGGCTTCACACATTTGTACCCATGTGGGGAATCGAACCCGGGTCTTCGGCGTGACGATAATGACACCAGGTGTTCTACAAAAAGGTGAACCATTCAACACAAACATCATCAGTGAAAATAGATTTATTGAGACATTGCATAACAGGATAAATTTACAAACAGTAAATATCCAATCTTCGTAGCACTTTCACAAATAGTACCTCTCCAGAAGAGTGGACTGTCTCCCCATCCCCTCCCATCTCGCCTCAGTGCCATCCTTATATTTGCACTTGACAGCTGAACACAGGCGTGTAGAAAGAGTTATGTACAAAGGACTCACGAGTTCACACTCGAAGCCAACCAGTAGAATACAAGGTTAGAAAGACACTGTGTAGTTACACTATGATGATACAGTGAAATATACACGGAAACAAACATATCCATTAAGTACTATGTTACATGCTCCAGTACGGCACTACCAAACACGAACACAAGGCCACGTTCTGCACGTGCTGTGATCACATGACAACAAAGGGAAGTAAGTCTTACCTACTTGCCACACGTTGTGAAAGACTGCCTCGTTTATACGGAATCTATCATGATCTTAGTATAACAATCTATTAAAATATTGAATTATATTAAAACATAAACTTAAGAATTGAAAGACATTCAAACTAAACTAAATAAACATGTTCGTAGCACTTCTAGCAAAGCAGGAAAACATCAGTACTAACATAAATTATTATTTTAACTAAAATAACACGACTGATAAACCATTTTGTTCAAGATTATGATTAAACAGAGAGGATCAAATTAAAACAAAAACAACAGTTTTAAGAGCAAAGATGCCTATTGATATTTCACTTTAAAGTTAGCCTCTCTCATAATTAATATAACATACTTGCTTCTATTAGTACACGATATTATATAAATATAACAAGTTCTTATATTAATGGCTTCTAAATAAAATATGTATAAGCTCTCGGAAACTACAAGCCAACAAGAAGCAAGCACGTACAGTTTTTTCTGTACGATGAACTTAAGGCTTTTGTACAAAAGGATTACATAAGAATAGTGAGCAATTGTTGGAACAGCCCTCCGCTAGGTGGCGTGTGATGGCTGTTTGTGTTGCACTACATAATTACAAACTGTTTTTCCGCCTCCAGATCACAACACGTTCATAAATGTACACATACCACATCTTGGAATCATTGCGTCATTGTCACGTGACTATTTATGCACCAATGGAAACTGCTGCCATCATAGACACAGCGCTTTTTCTCTGCTATTCGGATTTCTTCTTTTCACCGGGTTTGATATGGCACACTTTCAAGTCTCCATGGAATATTCATTTGGAGGAATAGAATTGCCACAAGCAAGAATCAAATGTTGCCAATGTGAAGACCTTCAAGGTCGTGATGAAGATATAGGTCAAGGTCACAATGGAGATGAAGGTTATCCGTAAACCGTACATGCTACCATCGAGAACACCACGATTACAAGTTGAAACACTTGATGGAAACAAGCACTGTGAAATTGAACACTCATATGACATTTCCTTTAAAAGTATGAAGTCAACGAATGACATATTGTCCCACAGTAATGTCTCGGCAACCAACTATTATGCTCTCAATGTTTCAATCATTGTCACTGTCAAGATCGAAAGCGGATTTGTCAGTCATGTTCATTTGAAGGACATTAGCACCTTAGGTAATACAGGACTCGGTTATCCAATCAGAGATCACAATACATCTGCTTCGTATCTTACAAGGCCTATGGTTGGATCGTAATACCCCGCCAGGTAGTACAGGTTAGTCACATCGTCCAATGATTGGCCTTTCTTCTGTGCGTCTGCGCGACGCCTCTTGAACTCCAAGAAGGACTGGACGTCACACTTGTGGGAGATGGTCTGTACAGCATTTTCATCTTCGTGGGGGACTCGAACAGCGCACCCTAGGGGGAGATGCATGACACATGTAATAAACACTTAAGATCTTAGATATCACAGTGAGTGAGTGAGTGCGTGAGTGAGTGTGGTTTTACGCCGCCTTTAGCAATATTCCAGCAATACAACGGCGGGGGACACCAGAAATGGGATCCACACATTCGACCCATAGGGGGAATAGAACCAGTCGAATCAAGCCAACATTTTAACAACTAGGAATATTAATACATATTGTCTGTATGCCAGTCGGGAATAACTTTATCAAGACGACCTGTCAATAGCATAATGAACTTACATATAACCAGGTCACACATCTAACCAACCGATACTCGTCCTATCCACGGATATTACGGATAAAATTCATAACAATATAACAAGTTTCACCTCAAGTTCTTTATTTCTTGGCCAAGGGCCAAAACAAAACATAATATTTCAAATCACAATCGTGGGTGGTTGGTAGGTTCACATATTTCAATAAGAGAGTGGTTTCTAAAATATACTAAGCACCAAAAGCCACTGTCCATGGAAAGAGTAATTGGTAAAAATCATATGCGCTGTTTCTTTTGATGCCCAGTATATAAGTTTTCTTCACGGATGAATTCCGACACTTACCCGGGGGTCAGCCAGCTTCTTTCCTCCTTTCGTCTCTTCCGGGTGGTAGAACCACTTGACCTTGACCGTCATCTGACCTCCCCAGGCTTCCCACATACTCTCGATCCGGCCGATGAAGGGGAGGTTAGGCCTTCCGGTTGACTTGAACACTGCACAATCTCCCACCTGGGGATATACATGGGGAACGGTTATTGGTGTGAGGCAGGGAGGATGGCTGTTTAACGCCACACTCGGCAATATTCTAGCCACGATGAAAACTGCCTCTAAATAATTCAGTCTGGTCCAAACAAACGAGTGATTGACATCATGAGGACCGATCTATGCAAATGGGATACGACCGCATACATCAACCAAATGCGCGATCCTGACCAACCGATCCGCTTTCGACTAGAGTTGCTGAGACCCGTATTTTCACGGATATGACAGAGGGAATGTGGTTTAATGCAAGCATATTCCACAAAACGACGGACTTCACGTAATCAAGCCTGGACCAGACAAACCAGTGGTCGATGGTGTGAGCAAAGAAGTCATGTACAAAAAACAAGACAAACTAGGAAACAGCTGAATGTTATGAGGTTTGTCCCAGAATAATATCAGTGTGTCTATAATTTCGACATGTATAAACATTAAACACTGTAATGTATTGACATGACACAGTTCTTCAGCAATATTTCTGCGTTCCGTATTCTTTTCTCAATAAGTATAGATAAGCTTAACTCGTCTTCAGGTTTCAAGTCATAACTCTGATCTATATCGACACTGAGTGAGTGAGTTCGGTTTTGCGCCTCTTTAACAACATTCCAGCATAATCAGGCTAGGGTTGTGTCAGGGTAGGGGATAGTGGTGTTGTTGGGGGTGGGTAGGAAAGACACACAGAAATCAGCATTGCATCCATGTGGATATCACTATTTAACGTGAAATATTGTAATTGTAACATTGTGTTTCTAAACATCTCAAGATGGCCTAGGCCCAATACTAACATTGATGTATTCTTTGCCTCTGAGTATCGCCTTATAAAACTCCTTCTTCGCCTTGCCCTTCAGCCCGGGGCGCTTCGTGCTCTTCCCGGACCATCTCCACACCTGGCGGGCCGGCAGGAACGCTGGAGGCAAGAGGGGGCACATTAGACACCATATTTGCATTCGTCATCTACAGCTGGTCAGACGCTTTCGTGTTATTTATTCATGATGAATATTAAAAAATCTCAAGCGCACATTGAATGGTAATGAGGTCCGTTTGATAGGTATCGGGTTACCGCGCCTTAGATTGCTAAAGGGCTAACAATGATCCTGAGTTTCTTGATGTGAGTTTCTGGACCAATGTCTCTGTTACCAGACTCGCAATTTCCCAAAATATAATGGGCCATTGAACTTTAAATGTTCGCATCAAGCCCAAGCCCTGCGTCAAGATATGGTTATGATGATTATACATATTGGCGTAATATCAACAAAAACAGTTTACATTTACGGATCTTATGAAATGTATTATCTATGTGTTATTGGGCCTTTGGAATTCCCTGTACATGACATAAATGATGCCTATGTTTAGTGTTGAGGGTAAGATTAAATAAACAGTATTATATAGTTATGACAACGACAACGGCAATTCCACAACGCAGCGATTTGGGGACTAACTCCCTGAACACACCTGCAAGACCCCCTTTACTCTCCGAGCTGACGGAAGTGGCTTTCTCGCTGCGCTTCTTCCTCTGGGTAATGTTCTTTGATGCTGCTTTCTTTCCCACTTTCTTTGACCCTTCCCCTGCCACATTCGTGTCTTCATCCGGACTGTCAGAGTCAGACTCCTGACCCTGCGAAGCCAGAACGCTCTCTTCCTCATCAGAAGAATCCATATCCTCATCCGAGCTACTATCCTCCTCGTCCTGCCCCGACCCGCCTCCATATTGAAGACCTAGCTTTTTCATGTCAAAAGCGGAAGGACGCAATATTGAGGACGGCTTGGGTTCCTCTCGTCTTGGACTGAGGGTTGTCAAGCTGAGACTGTCTTTGTTTTGAAAACTTTTCCCGAAAGTGGCTTTCCCGGGAGCTAGTCCGTCACGATTTAATATATTTGTTGCTTTCTGGCCGACATCGTGAAGGTTGCTTCTGGGACTGTGGTCACGTGACTGAGATTTCTTTCTGACGTCTGCTTCAAACACATCCGGGTCCTCTGAATCTTCCTCCAAGGCCCCATCAAACTGACCAGAGAAGCTATCCCGTTTGGATGGCCTCTTCTTGCACTCCGATAAGCTGAAGTAACCTTCGCTCGACTTCCGGAACTCAGAGTCATCCGACGTCGTCCGTCGTCGTCTCTTGCTTAGATTCAACAACGGGTTCGGGTCGTATGCTGAAACCACAAAAATCCGTAAGTCATGCTGTTTCGTTTTACACCGAAATCAGAAATATTCTAACCATATTACTGCGGTCTGTATATAATCGATTTTTTTTAAATTCTGAAGAACGTCCAAGCAGTCTCACAGTCTCTGAACCACATTATTTTCCCTGCAATGCTAAAGCCCTAAATGAAGCAAGTCACGATTTCCCCTGGTGCAAGCTGAATCTCTGGTCTCCCTGGGACTCCTTTTCAATTTAAATGGGTCTATATTTTACAATCAAAATTATATATATTCAGAGACTAAGCGTTAGTCTACCGAGCCCTCAACGGGGTAATGTGTACCTTACAACCCAAATAAGACTGACATTATGTCCATAAATAGTTATCGGATTCAAAAATATATAATACCAAAAAATCCAAAACGAGTCTAGAACAGTCTGTAATTTCACGCTGGAGCGGAGACAATTCAGACTTGCAAATCATTCTAGACTTACGTAGGAGCCCTATTTGATTTATTCTCTAAGGTCTGGGAGACAGACAAAACAAAAGTCGTCATTTACGACAAGCAACAGAGCGACGAGGACGTAATCTAATCTGATTCCCAACTGATGCACGTGTGTTTTGCTGTTTGGAATATGTAAACAAGCCTTAATAATGTCAACAATGTTTCGTTACACCTCAAGAAACAACACAACGTTACCATGTGAAGTTGTGAAAGTTCGATGGCAGAGTTTACAAGTTTAATGTTTCAAGTGTCAAGCCACAGTAACAAACTCTAACAGAGGTGTTGTGAGTATGTTGCCTTCGATTACGTAAACAATCCAGTTTAACAGAGTGTAACAGAAAGTCGTCACGTGACAGCACTCACAGACAAGGGGGAAGTCTTGAGGCAGTAGTCGTATGTGGTCGATGGGAATCCGGCCAGAGTCGCCGTCGTCGAACTCAACATTGACGGAGTACTTGTCGGCGTGGGGGTTGGGGCTCGCTGAAATAACGCAGAGAATTTAAATAACTCCCAACACTGTTATAAATACCAAGGCGAGGCTATGCGAATCTCCTTCATATCTCGAGCAGTAAAAATGGTTCAATTTAATTACGGCTGAAGTCGTTAGGCAGAAAGTTATCTTGTTGTCATCAAACAAATACGTGATGGGTGTTTATGGCTGTAACAACTGGGAGCGCGTTTAGTGCAAGCTGCGTGCTATATTGCTGTTTGCCAGTGTATGTACAACATACGAGTACAACAAACGGTGGCAGGCTCTTCAAGAGATGGTATGATGAGTCCACGAGGCCTGCTGCCATTCACTTCAAGTCATAATCGACGTGCATTAGCGAGATTAAGAAGTGAAATCTTACAATTACGCCTCATAAATTGTCAATGGAGGAATTTAAATTAGCCGTGACGTGTGAAATGAATAAGCTGTATGCGAGTATTAGGTGCAGCTAGTACGAACGCGAGCTAATTCTAGCATTAAACCGTTCATGGATGTGCGCCCCAATATCGCCATATTACCACTGCGTGCGCACTCGCGGGAATGATAAAGTTCAAAGAATAATGTCACCATCACCTCCAGCTATGGTCATTAATAAACAAAGCTGGTTTGATGTTTTCGTAATTGTCAACTTGATGATGCTTTTGCAGCAGTATGACAACCATTAGACGACGAGGAGGAAATATCGTTAGAGGATTCTCAGCGCTGTGAGAGATATCTTACTTTTGGCCACAGTGCCAGGGTAGAGGCAGCTGAACTGTTGGCTCCAGTAGGCACACACGCGGGTACCCTCGGGGAGGAAACGGGGGGACCCTGGCTTCACGTCCACGATCTGGGGAAGAGATTACATGTATGAGAAGCAATATAGCTCAATAGATCATGAAAATGTCACAAAAAACATACAGCCCTAAAAACCAGGACCACAACAGTGTTCCAACTTGGATCCGAAAGCCATCCATAGCTTTCCTTGCGAACTTCTCAAGACGTTCCAACTTCGGAGGTTGATGCGGCGATAGTCCAACCCTTATCTTTCTTTCAGTTTCATAATAAACATTACGTCACTTCGTTTGTAAAGGAAGGGGAAGGAAAGAGTCATTTTCTGTACTAGTAATGTCAAATTAAATTCCTAGAAAATTTGGAAAAAAATCTCCGAACGGCATTAAGAAGTGATACACGGAAAGGCAAGGATTTTATAGATGTCAACTTCTTTTTTTTGAGGAACACGTTTCGGAGTATATTCTTACTCCTCCAACAGATGAAATAAAGGGACATAGTCACTTTTTCGTTGTGAAATATATCAGACATGTTCAAACGGTTCAGAACTCTCTGTTTGTACTTCATTTCTTAAATTATGCAGATCTGTGAGCGGAATGGTATATTCATAGCTTGTCTTTTCAATATTAGTACTATTCGTTGGTATATCCTGATTGTGTTGTAAGGAACTAGCTTTTGAAGTGGAATGCATAAATAACAGAAACTACATAGAATCTAGTGTTTCTTTTGAACTGGTTAATCTATTTGTACATATGTACACAGGATACCACAATCACCTATAGAAGACCCTGTCTAGACGAGGGACTTTTATATGTATAGAAGGCATTGTTTTACGGCTGTTTGCTAATGACCTGCAGTGGTACGGAATTCTGTATCGGGTTGTATTGCTTCATTCCAGGCCAGTGTAATTGGTTGTATGTGGGGCTTATCTTTCTGGGTACACATAATAGCCTTGACTGTCGTGTCAGAGAGCATATCGTGAGCAGTAGGCGGGCTATGTCGACTGCAGCACTTTGATGGTTGTGGCGATGAAAGACGGGATTATATAGACGACGGTTGTCGTGCGTGCACACACAGCCACACAATCGACTTCCAGGGGTATGTCGCCAACAATGTCGGGAAACCTGCACACAAAATCTTACGCTCGGCAGCAAATGCGCCATTCAAAGACATCAGCAATCATACGTCTTCCACTCCGACGATCAAAGACAGACAGAACTATCACAACTTTCAATTAGCCGTACTTTCGTTTTCTCAGAAGCGTGAAATATTATTGGACATCTGTACTCCTGCATGCAATGTGTAAATTAGCGGCATTTGCTGGAGCCGTATGCACCAATGTACCTTACACTTCTACAGAAGTCGCAGCTGACAACAGCCATTTAAACCTGAATCACAAACGTTTACATTCTCATTCAAAACGAATTGATCCGTTTCGCCCCGATTATGTCATATCGATCTTTAATGCCGGAGAGTTTCTGTTCGAATGGGAGGGAAGAGGAAGCGAGGGATATTCGCGTGTTGGAGGCAGCGTTTGAATCGACGACAGACGATCTTGCCCAAAGAGAGGCAGAGATGGTTAGTTTGAGCGCCTCCTAGCGGCCGAAACACGCAATACAAGTAAATTAATCCTTCTTTCTTTCTGACTGAGTGGGCAAAGGAGCCTAGTGTTCTCGAAACTCAGCGACCGAACACATCGACACGAAGGGCAATCTCGAGAGTCGTGATTTGAAACAAGACACCCATTTAATGCGTTATTTACTCATGTCTCCTCATGTTCAAACGTTATTATGACTTGAGCAAGGATAAACAACTGTCCTTCTATCTGCAATATTTGTTCAACAATTTCCCAACCCTGTAATATATTGTGACACCGTGAACTAATAAAATATGCATAGATTTCCCGGGTTTTCTTCCGATGGTCATTTATGCATGAACTTAGCAAGGAAATAAACCTAAGTTGCACGTACCACGTTTTTAAGGATTTCTTCCTGTGGGTAAATATGAGGTCTGTTTCCCCGCTGGTTGTCCACGACCACGCCGTAGCTGAAGAAGAGGAAGAAGTCACGTCACATTGTTGCCGCTGACATCACTACAAGAGTCTTTCAAAATATCATCAGAGCGTTTTACATACCTACCGGTGAAGACGCTTCACAAACATCGACAAGTGGTCTCAACGAATAACAGCCATAGGTCGAAATAGATAAAAAATAGTCACAATGCCGGGAAAAAAGTATGAATTCTAAATATTTTTTACAAAGAGAGGAAACAACTTTCCTGTACTATTTTCCATGTGGAATAAATGAGTTTCATCAGAGAAAATGGTTCTCTCACCGACCACAATTGCAAGTACTAAACGACCCGGCAAAAAACGGCATCCACTTGAAAATTTTGTTTGACAAAAACCATTACAAACGTCACAAAAACATTCCCAGGCTGAAAACAGTCAAACATTCAAGGTCCAAAAAATATTAAACCCCAATCACCTAAATCACCATAAAAACCAATTCCCTGTTCTTTATGTTTAGCCAATTAAAGGTCCAAAAATACTAAACACCAACCACCTAAATCACCATAAAAAAACAATTCCCTGTTCTTTATGTTTGCGCCAACATCAAACATGAGTGTATGCTTTCTAGAATCGTCGTAGCAGGATGTACTGGTCGCAAGAGGTTACGAAATGGATGAAAGTGAGTGAGTATGGTTTAACGCCTTCTTTTAGCAATATCACGGCAGGGGACACCAGAAATGGGGATCACACGTTGTACCCATGTGGGGAATCGAACCCGGGCCTTGTCGTGACGAGCCAACGCTTTAACCACTAGGCTACCCCACCGCCCCGGATGGATTGGACAGGTTCAGAGATACTGGTTGGCTGTGTCTGATCTTACACATGCGGAATGGGTAGTTGTTCATAATATCAATCACTGGATTGTCTGGACCAGACTTGACTATTACACACTGCCTTCATATAGCTGGAATAGTGCTGAGTGCGGCGTTGTGAAACAAACAACCAAAATGTATGTAAATGATTACTGCCCATTCATGACTCTTTAATTTGGAACGATGTTCGGATTAGCGGGTTTCCTGAATACTCCGAGGTTCTTATACATAAGGTAACGAACAAATATACAAACTTACATGTCTGGAGGGTTGATGGCCTTGAGAGCTCCCTCGTAGAATAGCCCATCCTGGAACTCCAACACCCTGAGACCATCCTTCAAGTCATCCAGTCTCATTACGCACGATCTGGGCTCTGAAGGATCAAGGTGAACTATTCCGTTACACGTAAGCTTGGCTCAGGCAAATTGGCAGACATAGCACATCTGATTCAAGTCTCGCAAACACCAATACCACTATCTACTTAGCTACATTTTATGATCACAGGTAATGATTACAGAAATTACACAGACAGTGTCTCAGGTTGACCAGATATTAATAACAACATCTAGAACTGAGCATAAATGGTCTTCATGGTCTTTTATGATTAATAAGTTGATATAGTCAGGATGTAAACTTAATGGGGCTATATTATGAATCCATCTTATACAAGAACTGCTGTCGTTCAGTGAGTTGTCTTCCCTACCTGGTGTATCAGGTCTCCGCCTGAGGGCGCTGAGAGGGATGTCATCTCCATCACTTCCGCTGTCTTGATCAGATGCTGATTCCGCTAAATCACGGGTCTCCTTTGGCCTCGCCTTGATGCTGCCTCGCTGTGGGGTAAAGATAATGGTTGAAATAGGGAAAGATAGGTGGGTAGACATGTCAAAGAGACATATGTGGCATTCGGAAATAACCCTCTTTTTCAGGATAGTAGACGGGGCTTTTAGAGTTCACAGGTTAATCTCACACACCAAAACCTACACGAAAAATGTGAATCGAGAAATTTAAGGGTCTACCAAGTACTGACACTATGAAGAGAGAGTGTACTAATTGCCCCCAAACGCGTCACCGTTTGAGACAGTGCAGTTTACACATGTATATATTGTTCATTTTAGTAACTGTTTATGGTAGGACAAAAGGAAACATTTCCTTTGGATGTTTTAGTGACAGTTGCATCGGTATGCAGGATGCGCTACCTTCTTGCGAACGCCTGATGTCATCACTATATGATAATGATGATAAACCCATGCATATTGCATATGACAAACATGTAGTTGGAATCGTTCACTGAACTCCGATTTCAGTAGACATTTCTTAAGATGATGGAAATGGTTTTGTCGCTTTTATTTCAATCCGACGCCAACCCGTTTGAATGATCAAGGTTTGCACACTGGATCGCACACTGACGTCAAACAAAACATTAGTCAAGCAATGTAAAGGAACTCACGTTAAATCTGTCCTCTGAAAAACTCGTCTTCTTGTTCATGTTCTTGGTGTACTTCCGTTTGACCTTCTGGGACAGTTCCTGGAGACTCTTGGCCTTCTGAACCTTGGCCCTGTCCCTGTCATTCTGCGTCTTGCAGGGCCGGGGGGTGAAGAATGTCTTGTCCTGCTTGGCCCCTGGCTGCTGGTTGTTGGGCGAGGGCTGGGGACTCGGCTCACTGAGGAAGATCCGTTCACTCCGTCTGAGACACCACTCCTCGTCCAGGTACAGAGGCTTCAACGCGGTGCTGCCATCAAGCTGGAGGAGAGAGCAGTGGGGTCAGCAACAACAACAACATCAGCAGCAACAACAACAACAGCAACAAAAACGTTTACTTCAAGTTAAGGTCATAACTAGGACAGGAAGGTGAAAAACAAAAATATGTGACACCCACAGGGTGGGCTGGCGTGTAGTTGGTTGAGTGAGTGAGTGATTGGTTGGTTGAGTGGTTGATTCATTGCTTGAGTGGCTGAATGGTCGCTCTAATGGTTGATTGGTTGAATGGGTGCTTAATGGGTTGATTGGGTGACTGACTGATTGCTCGATTGATTGGGTGGTTGATTGACTACTTGATTGCTTGACTCGGGAATGAAGAAGTGAATGAGCAAGTGGCAATGTACGGTCAATCATATTGGCAAATCGTGTTTTTCTATTTTTTAAGTAGTAAGTATATGGAATGATATTGTTCCAAATATAAAAGCTTTCATGTTGGGATCACCTGTTTGATTGGCATTTTAGAAGTTAATGAATAATAAAAAAATGGCACGATACTTTATGGATAACAACTTCTGTACTATATTATGACACATCATAATATAATATAGTGAGGTGCTACGGTATCTCGCTGCATCAGCAATTTGCACGAATATTTCCGATCGTTATACTTCCCAACTATAATTGACACGTAGGTGCAAATTGTAACGCAACAGTCATGGACTGATGAAAATTCACATCTCTTTCGCATGCAGCTGATTTGTAGCAAAAGGGCGCTAACAAACACGCGTCATCACACAGTTATACCAAATGACACATTCATGTTGTTCCCGAATAGGCGACGAAACACATTAAGCACACAAAACAACATACACTGTATTTGTTGTTGGTGAAATTCACAACACATTGTGGACGTTTCAACAAACACTCCGAAGAGCCCAACAAAATGAAATCAATGAATTCCCTCCAATTATGGATGAGGAGACCATGATCTAAAATGTTTTATGTACAAAAAATTAACGATCAATCTTAGATTAAAATTCATAAAGAGTGACATGATTGAAAACAGCTGTTTAGGAAAGTTCCCTCCAACATGGATGATTACAATAATAGAAATGAAGAGATCTTCTCATCAATCATCAATATTTGGCCTCCCACACACATCAAAGTTAATATGGTACAAAATTCACGAGAGACCCTAGTCAAGCATAATTCTACTTAATGGGCCCAAATTATTAAACGCGCATTAAAAGGGTTCTGTTTCACTTTAAAATTAATATTTAAACCTGAAATATGAAACTGGGAATGCACGGAATGTTGAGATCACGCGAGAGTCAAGCGAGATTGAAAGTGACACGAGACTTGGAGAGTACAATGTTCAGCTGGCGGTGAGCTCCAAGATGGCGTTGCTGAAGTCTCAGTAATGTTGAGAATGATTATATTTTGGATGAAACGTGGCGCTGCTGTGTATGTCCTACATGAGGAATATAACTAAACATTAATCCAAAATTATACTGCGAAATGATCTTATTCCCAACGTTTAAGGTTACATATATTGCTATCTCATTCAAACTTCTGAAGGGCGGTGGGATAGCCTTGTGCTTTGCTCGATACGCGAACGACACGGGTTCGATTCTCCACATGGGTACAATGAGTGAAGCCCATTTCCGGTGTCCCCAGCCGTCATATTGCTGTAATATTGCTAAAAGTGTCGCCAAACCATACTCACTCACTCAACCTTCTGACAATATCGTTCATCACTTCCGGGTTTTATTCCCTATGTGGGACAGTACGTAAAGTTCATATCTCGTATAATTCGGATAAGATGCTTCTTTATGGTTGACGCAGCCTGTTTCGAATATGTCTAATATCGCTTATCCGCTTGACTCGAAGTACTGATATTTCGACACGCATTCGAGAGCTTTAAGTCGAAGGTTCGACCCATTTCACCCAACTTCAAGGGTCCAAGAGAAGTATTCGCAAAACATTTAAACAATTATTCTCCCGTCATATTCAACGACTTCATTAATTCTCCCAAGTAATTAAAACTAGATATTTTAACAAATACACAATTTAAATTACTGTGAAAGTATTACTGACAGGGAACAATAGTGCAATATGTATGCATGAAATATAATTGTGTTTTCTTCTAGAGAGATATACTTACACATAAACAGACATACTGTTATATAAACAAATATGCGTATAGGTAAGTGCGATTGTCATCATTGCTCGGTGGTGCGAATATAATCAAGTCTGAATTTAACTAAATCAGCTGGCTGTATAGAACGTTTGCTTTGAAACTGACGATGGCGTTTGTCACGTTGGAGACTACTAATTATTTGATTTATTCGGTTAATTATATCCCATTTGACCGAATCCAACATCGATACTGTGCACAACCTGAAGTGGTTGTAAATGTTGACGTCGACACTGTGCAACAAAACGTTGTTGTAAATAATGACGTCGCTATTACGTAATATATAATGTTAACGTAGAAACTGTGCAACGTGTACACAAATACTGACATAGTATCTAGCGATTATAGTGCTTACTCGTCACACAAAAGGCCCTAGTTTGATTCCGCACTGGGGTGCTAATAGCGACACCTCTGATGAGCTATTGGTGGACTACGGCATCCCCTGCTGTGATCCTGCTTGAATAAGCCGCGTAAAACGATACCAACTCATTCAACCAACAGTGTTGCAGGCAGGGATGTGTCCTCAAAGTCCAGAGCTTGTCTCCCCTCAAATCGCGGGTGACAATATTACGCAATATTCAGCAATATTCAAGCAATATCAAAGCAGAATCACCAGAAATGAGCTCCCCATTATCTCCGTCTTTTAAATCGAACCCGGCACTCCGACGTGACAAGCGAACGCTTTAACCACTGGGCTACCCCACCGCCCCCTCAGTTCTAAAACTCACGTTTATCTGCCGTTGCTCCTGTTTGCCAGCAGGCTTCTTGTCCTTGTTTGACTGACCGACTTCCCGCAACTGCAGCAAACCCAGCGTCTTCGACTTCTTCGCCACGATGGTCTCTGCAACGGGAAAACCGATGTTGTATAAACCCAAACGTGGGACCTATTCTTTATTACCCGTAACACATTTATCAGAACGAATGTATAAAGTATTTGAACAATGCATGACGTAACAAGTCACATGACACATACCTGTTCCTCCCCCTGAGGAAATGGGTGCACATTTCTTGGGCCGACCCGGCTTCCGTTTCTTGTTGGTACATTGGGGGTCACTCGCTTCCGTGTCAGAAGCTGAAACCATCAGGAATCTCGCTTAGAGATCGTTGCGATGTAAATACACATCAGGCATTATAAACTTACGGCAGATGTATAGAAACACGTACGGGACAACACACAACAGTAAAGAATGTAAGCATAGACACAGAAAAGAAATAAACGTAAAAATGAAGTTTTCTCGTAAAGCCACATGATAACAAAATATTAAATTCACAAGTAAGAAAACATTGAATTTACTGGATAACAACTTCTGTTTATTAAATTTGTGGTATTTCGATGTACATTGCAACACCGTAGTGAACCTTGAGGACTGACATCGAAACGTTGTTTAATGCAACAAAGCAGAAACTGTTAACAGCGCTTGAACTTTTTCGTATATTCATATGTCTGAAAGATTATTCAAGCTGAACAATTTTACTAAATGTTACATTCTTAAGCCTAAAAGCATTTTTCTCTTCCTTATAAGTCATAAAAACAAGCCGTCATATAGCTGGCAAATTGCTGAGTACGGCGTAAAATTAAACTCACTCATAAAACAAAATACGATATTCCTCAGTCCGATTCAAATTATCCTTGTTAAATGTCAAGCTGATTTGTCATGTGCCAAGATTGACAGTGACACAATGTTGGTCTGAATTAACTGCCAAATATAGATCCTGAATTATAATATCATTTATTTCTCTGCCAGACATTCCTCATTCACATACTTAAGAGCTGTTAAAACGAAATATAGACGACAGAAAAGCAAGAACGCCAGAGCGCGTAGTCGGCAAACATGACTTTTTCCCCGCCCAACCGCCATGTTTGCGTTCTACGTCACACCACGTGACAACCATGCACCACCAGAAGAGTTTTGATTGGTCGTATAAAGGTGTACCTCTCTTATTTAATGGGCCCTGCCTAGAATCATCAGCTTCTTTTTCGACAAACACACCTTCCTCTAATTTCCGTTTTTTCTTCTTCATATTTGCTGCAGTGAGAGCGGAAGTGGCGAACTTGGCAAGGAGACCGAGACCAGACTCTAACATGGACGGAGAGACCGCGGCCGGACTCGTGGACTCTAAAAGAACAGCATTTACCATCAGAGATATTTCGCATTTGGTATGAACATTACGAGCACTGCTATTTCGTTTCTTTGACGACATATGAAAAATAGTTTGATCATGTGTTTAGTAATGATTACGATTGTTTTGCGGAGGTTTTTACTCAAAGCATATTTCTGTGGTCAATAAACTAAACAAACAGTTCCGATTGTGGATAATATTATCAATATTCCTGGTCAAGTGTGGAAGGACAGAGCTAACACTTGGTATTTTGGACAATGGTGTCCATACTGACCTATTTCGGCTGATTCTGACGAGTGTTGGCGTTCAATACCCTTAAGCATTGTCTTGGGGCGCTTTTTTTCCACCAGAGAGTTTTCAATGTTTGAAAACAGATTCCCAGCGTCTGAAACACAATCAAAACGGAGCTTGCTCAAACTGATGACGGAATATCAATGTTAATTGATCCGGGGAAGGGACGCTGTTCAAACACAGGTCACTGTTGCTGGGGCGAGCTTGCCTGTCGTTGGTCAGTACGCTCATGCCAATGCTATATAGAACGAAATACAGTCGTGGATCTACTCTCGATTATTTTCAACGGAAAGTCTTTTTATATGTGCATTTACAGGGAAGAAAACTGTTCGTGTGGAAAGTCAGTAACTCACCTGAAGTTGACTGAGAAGATTCCCTCTCGGCCCCCATACTGATCGGTTCTTCCTTCCTCTTAGCAAAGGGCTTGAATTTACCTAAAATTAAACACCGGGTGTCATACGAATCAATCTATTACAATACGACAATTGTATTTAAAGGGTCCTAAATGTTTTTGTTTTTGTTGTTGTTTTTTTTGGTTGTGGGGGGTTCAAGAAAACTTCGTAGCTATATTGCCGAAATGATGCCGAAAGAACGTACAGTTTTAACTCTCTCACTCTTTAGAGGAAAAACATTAAATCATTCGTTAGAATTACAAACTGTAAATATAAAATTTACCTTTAGCAATATTTGCACCCTTGGATCGGAAAAATTTCTTGTCGCCAAAGCTATCGGATTTGCAAAGGAAACTTTCGTTTGAAGAACTGGTTGCGTCTGAAACAGAGAGATGCCCCAGTGAGGTTCATACTTTAAATGATTATTTCACACGTACTAAATAAATGATATGAAAAAAGGAACAAGGAATCTGTGAGCTTAAAAGGAAATTGGGGTAAAGATCATGCGACTGGATCACTGAAAATCCGTTAAGACACCGTGTGTTAAGAAATCGCTTTCATAACACCCAAACCTTGTAACCTGATTATCTCCATACAACAAAATGTGGCTTGATGGACCATGCATACTCACACAGAGCGTACCATCAACGAGTGAATATAGTTTTACGCCGCTTTTAGCAATATTCCAGCAATATCACGACGGGGACACTAGAAATGCGCTTCACACATTGTACCCATGTGAGGAATCGAATCCGGACCTTCGATGTGACGAGCGAACGCTTTAACCACCGGACTACCCCACCGCCCCACGTACCATTAACGTAACAGTGTTATAGATATTCCAATCCAACCCATGGAATTCCCAAGGCATGCCGTTTTTATATCTTGCTAAGGTCTTGACATAACTGTTTCATAATAGAAGAAGCTGGGACTACATTGTGAAGGATCAAATTACGCATATTCTCATCATGTGAATAAATATTTCATCGCACTGGAACAGACATGGGTCTCGTTCCAGGTCCATCAAATCTGATAGCTTAATTATGTATGTGTTATTGAATGAGAATGTACATAGCCAGTGTATATCAGATATCCAGGCTGGGCAAGTCCCATCTGGTTTACACAGAAATGAAATTGAGTCATGCATCTCATAATTGGGTGTGGTCTAACTTCAAAGTCTCCTAATGATCTTCATAGGCATAAAAAGTCAACTGGTCACCGACGTGGGTTGAATTGGAACAGCAAAGATCGAAGTCACAATATGCTACAAGGAACAAAGTTCAAACAGTGAACAGACAACCATATTGGATATCGGAACTTATCTTATTCACTTGAGTCTTTTATGGAGCATTTTTGCAAAATCTAGATAGTTTTATATAAGATTTGTTCATGCCTTATTGAATTTCTAATCGAACAACCGGCAAGATCGTTTTTCTCCTCATCTTTTTTTTATGACAATGGGGTGATCGCCTAAAATACCGCAGTTTGAAATACGATAAAGAAATCTGATCTCCAGCGTTTACGAGAAACCATAACATGGCTTATATTGAGGTAGTTGATTCGTTTCATGGCGAACACTGATATAGTTCATTCGTTACCTTGAATCAGGTGAGCTAAATCATTCGGAGCTACCATCCTTTGATAGCTAATGCTGTGTTTTGGAGTGATAGCAAGGTATTTTTTGTGTCTTGTTTGAAGATAATCACCTTTGATAGATGCTAAAGATAACTCCTTATTAATCCGACCATTTTTTATCCATGTCAACACTGAACCCTGCTTGTTTCATCAATCATACACCCAGGCATAACGAGGGGGGACGACGGAATGTCGACGGGAAGGTGAATGTCAAATACACAGCGCCATCTGACGTAGAAACGTATAACACCGACGCATCTTTGATAGATGGTGTGACAACGGTCACAAGGAAATATCAGCGTTGAATACGGCCGTGGATCATCATGTTGTTCCACGTCACATCAACATCCCCTCAAGTTAGTCACCTTCACCATGTTTTTAAAAAATAAAACAGTTTATGCTTAGTCCTAGTGATTTAAAACTACTTTATTGGCTACACGAACCACTAACAATGTCCTTAAGGAATACACGACTACTTAAGGCCCAGAAGACGCTTAAATCAGCGTTTAACGATTCCAGCAAATGCACCAGACAGATATCTACTGTCTCCGACTGTAAAATAATCAATTTTACACCTTGAGCCGACAAAATCAGCCGGTAAAAACTCTAAGTTTGGAGCAGTAAAACTGAAGGTGTCTGATTCCGACATGCTTAATAGCATTCCACAAGAGGGCTATAGGTCCCTGTTGCACCAGGAAACGAGAAGCACTGAACAGCTCAACATAAACCTTCACATAAATAGTGAAAATGCCAGGGTTAGGCAAAAACGAAAAAGGCTTACGATGAAAGCTTCTGGGATGAAGCTTAACTTTTCATATGAAACTAACAAAGCTCAAACCAAATTATTATGCTTGTAATTGTACAAGGTGCTTTATTTCAATATCAGCTGCGTAGAACGTTCGGGGAAGCATTATGAATGCAAGCCCTCACAAATGAGGGTATATATGCAAGCCCTCATAAGTGAGGGCATTAAACATATGCATTCCGCTTAGATAATGGCCAGTATTGTGTAATGCTTTAGCGAAAGCGAATGGGGTTTTGTACCCAGCAGCAAGAGATTTCGACGATGCGGAGATAGGTTGATGCGCGATCCATGCATACAGGCAGAGACGAGATCGATGGAAGGGTGTATGACATGAATTCGCTTTTCCGCATACGTGATAAATCTAAGTCGGCCTCTCGCGTCCCGGGACAGAGCGGGAACCCCTGGAGTCGACAGTCAGAGCAAACCAGCAGTTTACTATCTCAAATATGCAGATCTGCAAAGTAACTCCCAGTGTAATATTCAATTTGAGTGAGCAAGTTGTGAGAAGATACGGAGGTCGATCTATCACCGAAACAAGGGGATGTATCTTGTGCCGCGCTGACTTGGGGGAGGCAGGGATCGGCTCTAGCCCCTCCACTTTCAATACATGGCAGTTATTGATGAAGACTCTAATCAACTTTGAAATCCTATCCGTTGTGTCACACACATAAAGGCCCAGCTATGAATAATTTATCATAAGCAAATACGCTGTGAATGCCTGGTTTGGAACCATGATAAGAGATCGGACCGGCAGCCGTTACAAGTAACGCCAACAAAAACACTCCAATGTTCTTGGTGTAATTTCATTTTGAAAGGTTAATCCAAAAACTATGTGAACACGTGGCTCAGCGAGATCCCTAGTTCCGGAAGCGGTGATTACCTCGTCACGTCGTATGTCTCAACGTTTGAAGATCGGAAGGACGCCGCAACGCAGAGGTCGGCGGGACACGTTGAGCTAGATTACCACTGTCTCATGGACAGCTAACTACAACCGAATCTCAGAGTTCAAAGTTACAGAAGAGGTAAAATAGCATGGTCATTTTCGAATTCCTCTAAACAAGACATTGAAAAGGATAGATTTGGCTGGTGTAGATAAAGAAAGACTTTCTAGGTTGCTGTTTCCATATAATCTTGTCGTCTAGCTCAATTAAAGTTTAAACTTAGAATCAAAGACTGATCATTGTGTGGCTGAAGCTAGAAGAGATTCCCACTAGGAGAACAAAGCAGTTGGAATACGTCTCCAGTAATTGGAACTACAAGACCAGCCGTAGGATATGGTAAACAAGGAATCCTGAAAAGTTCTTACAATCGCTGACATGTTTGATAATCCAAATACTGATACCCGCCGTAAATGGAGATACACACTTTACTGTTAAAAAGGTGTCCAGTTGAAAATTCTCACTTGATTCGTGACTATGTAGTGTAAAACTGTGATCCCATGTTACAAGTGACGTCATATGCATGTCACCTTCTGCCATTTCTAATGCTATACAGGTAACATGTCCATGGTACCCGTATCAAATACCATTGTTTGTTCCACTTTTAGCCACTATCAAACATACGTGTATATTTTCTTTTGCCCGATACTGTACTTGGTCCCAGTCGAATGTCTGCCTTATTATTCTACCAGACAAAAAACACAGACTTGAACATATTGCACGTCTCTGTCTAGTTGAAGAATACCTCCAGTAGGAACTGATGAATATTTTAACAAAGTGACTGACAGTAATAGATTGTATGATGTATCTTGCTGTCTTCTTTTGTGTTTGTTTGTTTGTTTGTTGTTTAACGCCGCACTCAGCAGTCTTCCAGCTATATGGCGGCGGGCTGTAAATAATCGAGTTTGACCAGACAATCCAATGATCAACAGCATGAGCATCGATCTGTTGGGAACCAATGACATGTGTCAACCAAGTCAGCGAACCTGACCACCCGATCCCGTTGGTCGCCTCTTACAACAAGCATGAGTTAGTGAAGACCAATTCTAACCCGGATCTTCACGGGTCTTGTGTCGAAGAAGAGGGGTGGGGGGATGGTTTAATGGTTAAGGCATTTGCTCGTCAGACCTGGGTTTGATTCCCCACATGAGGCAATGTGTCAGGACCATTTCTACATGAATATTACTGGAATATTGCTAAAAGCGGCGTAAAACCATACTCACTCACTTTGTAAGATGTACGTTTACAAAGCGTATGCCAAGTAAAGTATTCTTAACCATCACGTAAAATTTATATTCACTTCACATACCACCCAGTCTTGTCTACTTCACTAGAACAATGTTTACATAAAGACACTTGTCATGCTTACAGCTACACATGACATCACATCACATCACCAGACTACAGACCACTCAGATTTGTTATATTTGTTTAAACCTCTAGCTTACATTAATCAATGTCTGTTACTCAGTGCTGATAGCCACAGGTAACACGCACCTGTGACAACCATATACACCACGCCTTCCTCTACCCTATTAACTTTTAAAATGACGCATACACCGTAAAATAGTATAGGGTAGGGTTTGTTAAACTCAACTATTTTCGCAGCCGCGATAATTTGATATTTTGTTCTGCTTTATCCTGTAACTCTATAGCAATACACATTCAAAACACATCGCCCCACACGTCCCTGAATAAAACTTTAAGAGATCCTTTAAGGTCGCTGCCTCAACACAAAGTCAATATCAGGGTGGTGTAGGCATATGAGATGCTTCAAGGTCCCTGGACCCAACACAAAGTCAATATCGGGGTGGTGTAGGCATGAGAGATCTTTCAACGTCCCTACTTCGCATGAGAGATCTTTCAACGTCCCTACCTCAAAACAAAGTCAATATCAGGGAGGTGTAGGCATGAGAGATCCTTCAAGGTCCCTACCCCAACACAAAGTCAATATCGGGGTGGTGTAGGCATGAGAGATCTTTCAACGTCCCTACCTCAAAACAAAGTCAATATCAGGGAGGTGTAGGCATGAGAGATCCTTCAAGGTCCCTACCTCAACACAAAGTCAATATCAGGGTGGTGTAGGCATGAGAGATCCTTCAAGGTCCCTGCCCAAACACAAAGTCAGTATCAGGGTGGTGTAGGCATAAGAGATCCTTCAAGGTCCCTGCCTCAACACAAAGTCAATATCAGGGTGGTGTAGGCATAAGAGATCCTTCAAGGTCCCTACCTCAACACAAAGCCAGTGTCAGGGTGGTGTAGGCACAAGAGGTCCTTCAAGGTCCCTGGCCCCAACACAAAGTCAACATCAGGGTGGTGTAGGCATGAGAGATCCTTCAAGGCCCCAGTCCCCAACACAAAGCCAATATCGGGGTAGCATAAACATAACAAGGGATCCCACAGATCTACATCAGGAGCCATGATGATCCATCATACCTGTCGTGGACCGTCCGCTGGAGTTACTACTCCTCCTCTTCAGAAACAAGCCAGATTTCGTCCTCATCGACTTCAGTTTGTCACTTTTGACTGGAGGAAGCTGCGAGACAACACAATAGCACAATGACCAATACATGATTGCAGAACGTGTAGAATTTAATTTCGTGGCTGAATTCAAATAACCCGGATAAAGCCGCCATTCAATTGAAAGCAACAGGACCTTCTTTCAACGGGCTTCTAAAAACCCACGAATTGTAAAGCTATTCTGTGTATTCATGAACCTTATTGAGAGCCTCTCCAGGGCCCGAATTGATGTTAATGACCTACCTTCCTGAAGACTCTATCCACCAGTTCTTCCGGGAGGCGTTTCTTCTTCGTGTGGGACTCCTTGCATGCGGTCTTGGAGGGCCTGAAAGAGACGAACAACTTCATCAGGCTGGCTTATAAGCTCCACCAGACAGTAATATGATGTCCAGACAAACAGATCTCATTATTGCTGTTCAGATATTTAGATGAGGTACTATTGTATTACTTACGAGTCCTCGTCCTTCTTTTTAGTAAAGAATTTCCTTTTCCTTGGACGGCCTGGCTTCCTTTTAGCTGAGTTTTTGTCGTCACTGTAAAATGATACACATCTGGTTGATGTCAATCAGTTACAAAACTTGGCAAGAGTTCATGCGGTCCTGTCCCACACCGAGTGAGTGAGTTTAGTTTTACGCCGCACTCAGCTATATTCCCGTTATATGGCGGCGGTCTGTAAATTATCGAGTCTGGACCAGACAATCCAGACAATCCAGCGATACACAGCATGAGCATCGATCTACGCAATTGGGATACGATGACGTGTCAGTCAGGTCAGCGAGTCTGACCACCCGATGCAGTTAGTCGCCTCCTACGACAAGCATGGGTTACTCAATTCTAACCCGGATCTTCACGGGTCTGTCCCACAATAAAGCACATGTTACATGCGGTGTCTTCTGAGGTTATAGACTTTTACCCAGCAGCGAATGGGTACCCGTTAGGATGAGATGTTATAATGACTGTTAACCTTATAACGCCCCATGCGTGGGACTGCACGCTGATCAACTAGCCGGGGTAATAATGAACGCTTTGAGCATCCTATAAGGTGGGGATATGGCTAATAAAAATATTAAAATTAGCACTAAAATTATTATGCATGACGAGCCTCTGCATGCGTTTTTGTTAGCTTATTAAATTTGTAAAATGTCGCTGTTGGCAATTTAGGATAAATGGGTGTTCTATTATGGTTAAAAAAAGATGATAAAACATTACGTTCTGTCATCCCTGGGTAATACACAGAATCTGCTCGCAATTCCCATCTAATCCACCAGCTACACACAATAGTGTGTGTTTTTCAGTGGTAGTACCTCGTATTAGCAGCATCCTGTACAAACTCCTTGCTGTCTCTGCTCTCCCGGCGTTCTTTGCTTCCTTCCTTGACCTTGGGTTGCAGTTTAGCAAGCTCCCGCTGCTTCTCCTTGTATCGACGCTGCAACTCAGCCAAGCGCATGCGCATTTCCACCTCCATGGCGTCCATGCTGTCTAGCCCTGTGTCAAGAAAAGATTGAAGATCTGCTTCCCTGAGTCTAAGAGTGGCCGATAGGGCAAACAAAACAGTGCAAGAGTAAACAAAACGATAAGGTCATTAGAAGTAAGTTGGTAACGAGAATCATGAGAATGAGCGCAAACATAGGAGATAGTTCTCTAGAACTACGGTAAGGTGGAAACGGTATTTTCAAGTTACTGTTATGTGAACTGCAGTACCTTCTGTGATTTTCGTTTAGAGATAGCCACAACTGTTTCATGAATTAAGTATTAATATAAAAGGTTAAATAACGGTATTTCTATTACCTCGAATGTAATTCTAAACGTTTAATACATTTAAGATAGATACCTGTTGGGATTTTTATTCCACCGATGGTGAGTACAGATTGGTTCGTGTCTTTCTTTGGAAAGATCCATTTTGGTGACGTGATCCCCCTCTTCACATCACGCTTGGGGGTGACGTCTCCGGGTCTGTCAGCGTCTACTGACGACGTCTCCTCCGCCGTGAAGTTGTCGGATTTGAAGGAGTCGCTGGGTGAGGGCAGGATGTTATGAATGTTGCTAGGCGACGTGATTCCGCTAGGGAGGCTGGTGGGCGAGGAGAGGACGCTAGTAGTGGAGGTGGATGTAGATGAGGATGTGGATGTGAGGACGGGGGAGGAGGTGGTGGATGGGATGACACCGGGTGTTTGACTTGGCGAGCTACACTTGGCTCTCCTTTCTGCTAATGCACTAAGCAATTCCAACCCATCTGCTGCCTTCAGTATAAGGGGGTCTGTGAAAGGATTGTAATCTGTTGTTGCCTTGGTAGCGCTGGAACTAGAACTGGGTAGGTCAGTCTTTGGTGCTTCCGCTGGACTAGGTGCACGATTCTCAGGTTCACTTTGTGAAGCACAGTCTGAAAGTTTACTCAGTTTCTCAGCAGCTTTTAGTAATGTTTCAGTCTTGGACAAATCGAGCTCATGGCAGGTTTGGCTACATTGTTCTTTGAGCGTTCTGCTCGGTACCAAGGGACCAAAGTCACAAGTTTGTACAGAAGCACAGCATTTGGTCACAGGTTTAGGGAAGTCCGCATACACTGCAGCCTCTTTGAAAGTTGGTTCCACTTTTGTTGTCTCGTCGGAGGGAGGGGGCGTGAGAACCATCGGGGAGGTACCACGTGACTGGACTGAGGGAGGTTCTGTCTTGACTGTGAGGGGTTCGGACAGGTTGACAGGCATCCCCTGGACGGGTATGAGGCCAGGGTTGAACATGTACGGCAGATGTCCCGTGGGGTATGGATAGGTATACTGCTGTGGCGCCACGGCCATATCTGTTGATGAAAAAACAAATCATGACATTTCTACAATGAAAGAAACTTCCCAATATATTGCCCTGGCCGAAAAAACTAAAACTCAGCTAAAGAAGCTAACAAGTAAAATAGTGCTGATTTAAAATAATACGGATAGAAGACTACGGAAAGTGATAATTTCCTCTCAAATCTTAAAAGTCCCCAAAGATATTGTCTTGAAGGCAGACTTTCCAGAATATAGGGTTTTCAGTACACAGCGGCGTGATCCGATGCTCACATCATCGATCACTGGTTTGTCCGAACACTCGATTATTTACAAGCTGCCGTCATACATATAATGGAATACTGCAGATATCGGCGTAACACAACAAGCAAAGGAAACTATACCTAATCGTATCCATATTACATAGAAAACAGTAAAGTGTAACAATTATGACAACTCAGTAGAACACGTGTTGTACTGCACCAACTCGTCCTAAAGGTTTCCATCAACATGCCCTAAAGGTTTCCATCAACATGCCCTAAAGGTTTCCATCAACATGCCCTAAAGGTTTCCATCAACATTCCCTGAAGATTTCCATCAACATGCCCTAAAGGTTTCCATCAACATGCCCTAAAGGTTTCCATCAACATGCCCTAAAGTTTTCCATCAACATGCCCTAAAGGTTTCAATCAACATGCCCTGAAGGTTTCCATCAACATGCCCTAAAGGTTTCCATCAACATGCCCTAAAGTTTTCCATCAACATGCCCTAAAGGTTTCCTCACCAGGAATGTATTGGTTGGACAGGTTGATGGGTTTCTCTCTGTCCTGGGGACTCCCGGGGGTACCAGGCGGACTTTGAGGGGTAGGGGTCTTCTCCTTCCCTGACCCTGAGGTGGGCCGGGACCCGGGGGTGGAAGAACGACTGCCACACTGGCCTTGGGATCCATGGTCGCTATCCTCCCGCTGGTCCCCTGTGTCAGGACTCTGTCGACTACCCTGGGGGCACAGAACAAACATATGACACACGTGTTCTTTTCCAAATTGTATTATGCTTTTTTTGCATTGGCCTCAGCCTTTTATACATAGATTTATCAAAAGTGTTAAAGTAATGATTTGTCAACACTTCCGCTGACATCTAAAATATATATCTACACATAAAGACATACAATCCAAATGGAGCCAAGAGCAATGCTAACTAGCGCAAAAGCTGATGCAATATAGTGAGTGAGTGTGGTTTTACGCCGCTTTTAGCACTATTCCAGCAATAACAGGGCGGATGCCCACGTGAGGAATCGAGTCAGGTCACCAGTGTGAAGAGCGAATGTTTTAACCACTAGGCTACACCGCAACCCCTGGGGCAATTCATACTTGCCAAATCATTCTAGACTTGAAATTCCATTTATATTTTATAGTTTAGTAGACAGACGAGTTATCACCAGATCAGCTGTTTCGTGACAGTGTGTAACGTCAATGGCTTAACTCCAAATATACATAACCTTAACAAGCTGATATTTCTTATGATTATTGAAACGGTCTTGTGGCTCCTAGTTTTTGAAGGCCTTCGACTGTCACCACCTTGACTTCGCTTTCAACATCGACGTGGCACGCTGTTACAGAAGTGAACTAGTTTTGAAAACGTCACTAAACTGCACTCGTTCCCTCTCTCATGCAAATGAAATACAGTTCAAATGGCTTTCTCGGCCATTCCAATCGTCACAGGGTCAGCAGGTCGGGTCGGGTGTTTCCGTCTACTTACGGGTGTATGATCGGGTGTTTCCGTGTCCTGATCTTCGTGAAGTTGGGGACTCCCGAGGGTTGGCATTTGGGCCAGGTGGGGGACAGGGGATGTCTGGAGGAGGTGTTGGAAGTGTGTGGGGGGAGGCTGGGGCCCGTGGGTGGCAGGGAATGGCCATAATCCACCACCCTGCTCAACATAGTCTGAAAACAATCAGCAATAACGGTAAACTACATATTGTCAACTGAAAATGCATATAATGTTATTCAAAAGAAGTGAAGGAATATCAGATTCTTTCATATAACGATAATTATACAACTCACACGAAGTGAAAGAACATCCACTACTTTCATATAACTATAGCTAAAGCTGACAGTGAGTGAGTTTGGCTTTACGGCGCTTTTAGCAATATTCCAGCAATATCGGCCGGTGACACCAGAAATGGGCTTCACACATTGTACCCATGTGGGGAATAGACCCGGGTTTTCGGTGTGGCGAGCGAAGGCTTTAACCACAAGGCTACCGCCCCTCTGGTATTCTAACACACAATGCAACTCAGTTTGAAGACTGGCTAGTGTAGGTATTTTAACTTTTCGTTTTCCTTCATTGTGGTGCTCTTATACAATGCCATACGTCTTGTTACTTTAAGGGAATCGAACCCGGGTTTTCGTGGTGACGAGCGAACGCTTTAACCACTAGGCTACCTCACCGCCGCTAAAGGTGACAGATTACGTACCTTAACTTCTTCTGGGTAGTATAATCCTGGTTTATTTGAATGTAAACATATGGCGTATTGAGAATCGGCTTACACGTGGATTTTTCAAAGACGTGAGTTCTCACATTTAAAATTGATGATCTTATAACAGAATAATAGGCAGGTCTGACACTGACTGAGTGGCAATAACTGGCAGATTTATGTGTCGCTTTGTCTCATATTTTTTCATTTAGTGTTGTAACTTGGACGAACACTGTTGATACACATAGACGTAAATATAGTATAATATGTTTGTTATCAACCTACATAAACTACAAACGTCTGTTCATGGTAAACAAGCGTAACGTGTTCTGTTATCGCATGTATATAATACGTAGATATTTGATCATATATAATACACGTTTAAAATAAGCAACTGTCAACCCGGCTTGAATAACGCCCTGTTGAAGCGATCAGTCACAACCGGGGATACGCGCCCTTTGAATGAAATCACCTCAACATATAGAATTACACTCCATAAACTATACGCACATTATTTATGATTGTGTCTATTTTTCAAGGTCTAATACTATCAGTCAGCTTGTCCTTGAATATGAAACAACATAGTTGTATATTTACGACTCGTATTTCAATGACGGCAATACGTTCATTTAGAACATGAACTCTCGTCACAATGGGTAATGAATATGGAATGCGCATGCGTACCAATCAGCATCATAAATCTAACACCCTTATACAATATACATTACAAGATAAAGTAGAACTGTTTTATAAATTACATGGTTTTGCCGGATTCAATTGGCTTGATATTAACACGATGCCCTGAACAAGCATTACCTGCTGGGATTAGGAACAGGTTTCCCGTGAAGGAATCCTGAGCGATCTTAAAGCCACTTGGTGCGCTTATAGGGAAGGGGTTAGGATCCAACGTTGAGGCTGAGGTTGTTGTAATGGCTGGGTGGAGAGCGAAGGGGTTTTGGGACAGCCATGGGTTGGGGTTAACGCTGTGGCCTGCAGCAACCCATTGGCTGGCTAGAGGGCGCACACGTAGTTCGTCTTGAAGGCCGGCGTCATTTCCGGCAACGCTTCCTAAAAGAAAGTATCATCGATATAAGCTTCGTCATGGCTGCCAATTGCGTGGATCGATGTTTATGATATTGTTCACTGGATTGTCTGGTCCAGACTCGATTATTTACAGACCGTCGCCATGTAGCTGGAATATTGCGGCGTTAAACAACAAACCGAACCCAAAAAATAAATTATTTAATCGTAATGGCTGCACGGCTCCCTCTCGAGTGATAAAACCGTCATCGTAAATTACATTTGTTTTAGAAAACTGCTTGTCAATATTTCAATTTACTTAACTGTTATCTTCACGTATTAATATAGACAGTTATTGTATTCAGGCTATGGACAGGTCGCTGCAATATCATTTTGCGCTGATAGTTTGTGTACTACATGGAATATGGACTGGAACAGTCTTTTTGTTTCTTTTCGGCATTTACCACAAAATTGAAAAGCGATTATCCAACTACATTATTTTGTATTCCATGAAGTCCGGGAAGCCCCGATATCCCTTATATCGCTTCCGTGGCCAACGGGGACACGGTAGCATGGGTCTTTCCGCCATATTGTTTGTGTAGCTGTCTCTTGTTTCACCTGACTTACTTCATTTGAAGTACCTCATTCCAAATGGTTCATTTCAAATACTTCATCAAAATGACTTCCGAGATACAGTTAGCTATTCATGACTACAGTTGGTGTGGGAACGCATAAATCGTTACCATGGCAACGGGAAAACGAGATGAAACTTAATTCCGGGGTTCGGCAAGTGAAGCCGTGTTTTCTGATTGTTGACGTTTTCGGGATTTTTTCAAGCGTAACTTGAGACACACTCATAAAGCAAAAATGACATGATTGGCTTGTCTGTTTTAAACACGAAATACATTCATAAAACATTCGCAAACCTTCGGCCATGCTCAGTAATTCAGATGTTAACACCAGACAAAATAAGAGAAAATGTTTTAGAACGTTATTCACGTGTATAAATCTGTGCGCGTCATAGTCCCATGAAATTAAACCTTTCCTATACATAAGTTTGTGGAAATATACACTACATTCCTAGGATGCTTTCATCAAGCGTATGTTTCGCCACTCAAACGAAATGAATATATACTGAAATATCAATATGCTTTGCGTAAGTGTTTAATCAAATGAAAATTTTCCCTTGCTCTGTAAATGTTGTCATTTTCGCACCAAACGGCCTTGATCGTGGCTGGTAACTTTAATAAATAGATACTGATATATATATTCAATACGCGTCTAAATTATTACATCCCCTTCAGTGTCCATGATCAATACAGGAGTCATTACGATAAGGGTCTCCACAAGTGGCCCATATGGCAGGTCGCCTTACAGGGGTTCAATCCCTTCATCCAAAGTCTAAAGCCGGCTCCATAACGAGAGCTGAGCTTACAAGCATAGATTCTCGTATCAGTGGAGAATAATTTATATCCAAGTGCACTGCACGAAACATTCGTATAAACAGTAATTTGTCATTCAGCATTTCAAGCACCAGCGAGTACTTAAAGGACAATTTGATATTTAAGATGAGCTAAAATTCATTTATGCGCCATTACATGGCTGTTCGTAATTCGACTACCATAGAAAGCGCATAAAATGATAACACAGCATATATATCATTTTCATATTTCCATAATCCTGATGCAAATAATGTTGTTTTATGACGGGTAGCAGTGACAAAGGATTTTTTATCTGAAATAGATGGTTTGATCTTTATATCTTCTCGCTTGAATACATAAAAGTCCCCACGCATAATGATTTGTGCTACTCATTATGCATGCTACATTATAATATCCTCACTTTTGTTCGGTTTTATGACGGTCCATATTTAATGGTATTAAATATAGATTTTAGCGTTATGCAGCATGAAGACTAGGGATAGGGAAGCAACTTCAAACGATGACAAAAATACATCACAGCTACCCCAGCTTGGAGCCTCGGGAGCCCTGTGACCCGTGTCATATATTTCAGTGGAGCCATGAGCCATAAATCAAACGCTTTTAACAATAGGGGTATTGTAAGGTCATTCGTTTTGAATTTAAATGAAAATGATTTTAACCTGTTTATAAAAGTATTCCAGCCATTTCAGGGCACGGGAGGACACGAAATCGTGACCGTTTTGGAAATCGAAACTGTGTCTTTGGTGGTACGAGGAAACGAAAGAACCACTAGACTACCCTATTCGTGACTTAAACAACTTACCTGTGACGACCAGATTTGGCGGGAGCCCAGTGTTGACCGTCACCTTGGCTTGACCAGACAAAATTGCCTTCTGCTGCCTGGTAAGGACATTGGATAAAACACATGTAAAAAGTTGTTTCAGGTACAAAAGCACTGTATGCAATTTTTCAATGGATTTTAGATAACAAGGTACATCTGGTTGACTGTAAATTTTTAATTTAAGTGACAAATAATGAACTGACGGTGAATAAAAAACTATGCAAAATCCTTCCATAACCTCAAAGTTATATTATAACGCAATAAATGATCTGAAGATTTAATACAATTTTCATCGCCGAAAGATATGCCAATGCCTATCGTGGATTTAAAGCTTCAGGTTACAATATTCCTATGCATTAATTGTGTTGGACCACCCTGCAGCCTTTGAAGTACATCGTGCTTTATACCTGAGGAACTCCTCCCTATCTTGGGAGTACTGTCTCCCGGCGGAATCATCTTCCCCCAACCCCCGGGCTGGGGCATCAGGGGGCGGGGCCTGAGCCCTGGCTCCATGGGGATCTGTAACATGACGTCACACATGAATAACAGTGTATGCGGTGGGCTGAAAGGGCTTAAAGAGAATGAGGAGGGGATTACGGCTCTGACCTACAGGTGTCGCGCGCTTTTAACGCAGTAATCGTTATTGACTGGCTCCCTGCAACGATATTAACCACCATCAGACCAGCCTCAAACACGGTGTGGGGACTGGCGTTTTTATGGCCAAGATATTTTAATGATGTTTATGAGTAGGAAACACGTAGGAAACAGCTGATTCCGGTAAACGTCCATTTCGTCGCCAAACTAGGCTGGCTTGTATTGTTGCGAATCCTGTGGGTGTTGGTGAGCATGGAGAATATATGATTCAAACTTCACGGAAACACACATTAAAACGTCGTATTGCGTTTCCGAGGTTTTCCGAGTGGGCCGGAAAACGAGAAGAGTTGTATGTGCGAACGAGTCTCCGGCTTTATAGGGACAATTGGTTCTACAAATGGACAGTCACCATTGCGCATAAGCGAGGACGATAACCTATGCTCACAGCGAATTGTAACGGAATCTAGGTGTGTGAATGGAACATCTTACCTTGACCTCTCGGCTGCTCCGCCCTCTGGCGGGCAACAGCGATACCAACAGGGATGTTTCCACCTGCAAAGGAACGAAAGCGTGCACACCGTTACATGATACAACCAGAACCCGTTTATGTGGACAGTTTTACGGTGGAAGTCGTTGAGTGAATGTATTTTTACGCCGCTATCAGCAATATTCCAAGTTATCACGCGTGTTAGTAATGGAATCAGGGACAGATGGCCACTGACTGAATCCATCATCCACCCACGTGATCAGGACAAGATACCCAGCAGTCAGACATGTCACTGTGGATAACCTCGTCCTCATCCATCGTAAAACGGCAAACATGGATACCAGGACCTTTCCTTTCCGAGAATCCCCACTGTGGGGGGATGAGTGAGTGAGTTTAGTTTTACGCCGCACTCAGCAATATTCCAGCTATATGGCGGCGGTCTGTAAATAATCGAGTCTGGACCAGACAATCCAAAGATCAATAGCTTGAGCATCGATCTGCGCAATTGGGAACCGATGACATGTGTCAACCAAGTCAGCGAGCCTGACCAACCGATCCCGTTATTCGCCTCTTACGACAAGCATAGTCGCCTTTTGTGGCAAGCACGGGTTGCTGAAGACCTATTCTACCCCGGATCTTCACGGGTCCTATGGGGGATGAGGCTGAAATCAACATGTTGAGATACGTAATGATGCAGTATTATCAGAACCGCTTTAAGGAACAATCCAGCAATATCACGGACACCAGAAATGGGCTTCACCCATGTGGGGAATCGAACCCCGGGTCTTCGGCGTGACGAGCAAAAGGTTTAACCACTAGGCTACCCCACCGCCCACGCAACTACGACAAGAGAGCTTGACATTTTGTACCATTGAAATCGAACCCAGGTCTTCGGCTCGACGAACCACTTCAACCACTACACTACCAACTAGGATGTTGTGTTTGCCTACCTGTATGTTCCAGGTTTTCCTCCACCTTCTCTGTGTGTCCGTCAGTCTGTTCCGTCCCGGGGTCGATCTCAACCTCCTCCTGACTGGATGAGATTATTGTCTGGGGCGGTGCAGACCCGCATCGTTTCCCCCTCTCTACAGGAACCTCTGTCTTTCTCCCATCTAACTGTTTCTCTTTGTTCTTTTGGGAAGCATCGGATGCTTTGCTACTTTTTTTGGCCTTCGTCAAGTTTAACGCAGCGTCCGTTTCTGCACTGTCTTTATTAACTGCTTTCTCCTGTTTTGTTGGAACCGTCTGGTTTTCCGAGTGGTCTTGGGGAGTGGTTGAATCTGGCTTGGTGTCAGGACTGGACGAACTCACGTGAACAGACGGGAACTCATGAGATTTCCCCGAGACCTGTAGGTTGCACATGCGCAGATATCTTCTGATCTGACCTATTGGTTGCGTTCGTGGGGCACATTGATTTAGAAGCTGAGGACTTAACCTGATGTCGCGCACACACTCGAGCAGTCTGCGTTACAGTGGACGTTGTGTAGTCCAGCGCTTCCGGTTCACACGCATGCTCGGTCTTACCGGAAGTAGTCCTACCACTACCTCTGTCGTCATAGTTACTGACACCAGCTGCATCGGATCCTGCTCGCACAACACATGATTCACCTGTGCTCGACACTGGAGAAGGATTTTGTCTGTCATCACACGACCTAGAGTTTGTGTCACCGCTTGTCCGACATTTCGAAGCTCTGCTGGAATGTTTAGGGGGCGGGTCTGGGTTTCTGTCTGTGTGTTGGTCAGAGGACGGAGGACATGTCACAGTGCTATGTTTCTCACGACAACAAGACGTCCGAACTATTTCTGACTTAACCCTAGTTTCACACAACTTGGGTAAAGACTTGTCAAGTGGGCCGTTAACAGTCCCCACTTCAGGCACAAATGTTGTAGCATACACTTTCCTCGGTCCCTGGACAGGGGGACTGTTCCCGTGGGGGTGAGAGTACATATTGTGATAATATGGTAGGGCTGAAGCCGTTTTACCCTGGGCCTTCACGCTGTTTATAGAAGACATCTGAGAACCTGAAAATATAAAAACAAATTTATATTCAATATTGTAATGAGAAATAACACCTACATATATAGGTATATGAACTTATCAATATTTTTAACTGAAAGTAAAAATAAATAAAATATATATGATTACAGATGTCCAGCTGGTTTTCTGCTAAAGTCAGTTATGATTACCAACCTTGAGTTGTGGCGACAGTGACTGGCTGGACGCATGTGAAAACACTCTGCGTACTTCCGGTACAGGCGGAAGTGGAGTGCGAAGCTGTTGTTCCGCTGGCAGTGACAGTGACAGTGGGGAGGGTAGTAATACTTTGAGTCTTCACATTGCCAGAGATGGGGATGGGACCGACACAGTGTTTACTGCTCGTCTTGTCAGACATCTTGTCCTCACCCACCACATCCTTCTGTCGTTCGTGTTCGTGCACATCGTGCACCTTCGTCTTCTTGCACACGCTGTCCACAGATTCACCTTTTTTACTCCGACCTTTTTCTGACTTATGACTGTCTTTAGTTTCCGACTTAGTTTCGCCCTCCCCTCTCTCCTTTCTCTCGCTATCTCTCCCATGTTTGCACTCGGTCTTGCCTCCTTCGTGTTTGGTGCTGTGCGATCGTTTTTCGTGTTTACTAGGCCTCTCTGTTGTCACTATAGGCTCATACTTACTCTCCTGCTTAAATGTGACTATTCCTGGCTGGGGCTGGGGGGAGGAGGGGCGACTGGGGAGGGACACTGGGTTCCCAGGGAGGCTGAAGTAGCTACCGGCTTGAGACACAGCAGCCCCCGTGTTAGTTAGGTATGGATCTGGAAGAAAACAAAACATTTCATAAAAATCTCTTTTTTAAAATGTCATTCAATGGGGTAGGGCAGCTGGAAAAAATGTTGATTCACAAACTCGGTTCGATTCCCAGAACGGGTACAATGTGTGAAACTAATTTAAGCCCCTGTATGCTGGCATATATTCTGTCGCACAGTCCCCGAACCACATTATTTTCCCTACTGCCCAGCCTTCCCTGTAATGCAAAAGGCCTAAATGACGCAAGTCTAGATTTCCCCTGAATCTCCCATCTCAATGGGGCTCCTTGTCAATTTAACTGGGTTTATTTGTTACCATTAAAATTATATATATTCAGGGTGTAAGCGTTAGTCTAGCTGGAATACTGCTAAAAGCGGAGGACCCCATTCCTCTTGTCTCTGTATGTTTTATTTCCTAATATATTTGATAAACATGATTCTGGATTTAAACTTCTTGGACTGAAAATCCTCCAAGGCTTCGAGAAAATATTGCCTCCAATGACCACAATGCCAAATAACACGTTGATCAACGAACTTACACTACTTTACAACAAACTTACAGTACTTTACAACATTACATGTTCACAAAATAACAACCGTTTCGACGTAAGGAGTAAAATTTAACAAATCGTAATATATGATCAATAAAATGCCAAAGATCAATTTTAATATATCACATCTGTGTTAATAACCAGTTACTATTTGTGAAGAGTCAGTCGTTTGTTAATCAGATCAAGATGATTAAAATCCGCATTCCAGTTCGGCTAAATTTAGGATCACAAACCGCCCTATATTAAACTGGTTAGTTCATATTGTCTTCGAGTGGGAAAGAAGGCCAACGACGGATTAGATGTGACCTTGAATGACCTCGACTAAGCTAGCGCTACACCTGTATCTGAAGGTTTAATTACTTTCTTCAGGGCCGCTTTTTTAATATCTCCGTCTCCAAATTGCCAGTTAAGGATTTTCGTGTCAAGATAGTGTTGTTAATCCCAGATCAGATTGAGTGTTTGAAGCAAGCAGTGTGTGTCTAGCTAGACATGTCGTCTCGGACGTTGCTCTCAATTTAAATCAGAGACATTTTGAAAGAAAGCATCAACAACTAGGCAAAACGAAGTATACCACCTTGTGGCACCATGTTAACGTTATTTGATAGCTGAACAGCTGAACCCTAAAACGATACTCGATCGTTTTACATGCAACGAAATATTGCATAAAGAGAATTCTTTCACGGTATTGTATCGCTTCCATAGTACGATCTAAACTTGCAAATGGATTCCAACATGCTTTCGTTTCACACGTGCACATGACTACAGGTAGGAATGTTTGGTTTCAGAGCCGTCCTTATTTTATTCTTTATATTCCAATACAAAAATCACTAACCTTCATTAGTTTCGCTTGTATTGCAATAGTTGTACAATTAGCATGTACGGGAAACAGGTAGTTTATTATAGGAGTGAGTCACAGGTTCTAAAAATTCCAGTCATTTCATCATTGAAATAATACAAATATCCGTGTGGTTTGAATCATAACAGCATCTGCGTCATACGGAGGATTATAAAAATCCTTTATCCAGAGTCGCTCGTAAAAATATAATATATCATTTGGGGAATATTCTTTAGAAGAATATGGATTTAATAACCTCCACATCCCCGTGAACAACAGACCACTAATGATTATATTGTGAAATGAAATATCAATCACCAATTACTGACATGCATGTATATGAAACATACAACACACGTGTTGTCGATTGCTGCAGATCGGATAACTGGCTATATACACCAAGGTGATATTAACAATGCAATATAGCCAATACGTACCAACACACACGTGTAAGTCGCCAATACAGACATGTACGTCTCTTACATGACTTGTTGCTTTATTTCAATTCCTGTTTCATGCATTTCAAATGACTGGTTTCTTTAAAAATATTCATCAAGTAACTGTAACCCTAAAGAGTTATATTACGTTTTAACGTTAAACCATAGCTTGTGAAGCATGGAATACTAGTATCTACTAGTATCTGGCGAGGTAGGATATACGACAATCGCGCACCAGCTTTTTTTAAAAATTTATTTCAGCTACGTGTTTAACTTTAAGAATTAAAAGCTGACAGCACAATTACACTAATAACCCTAGTATATATAAAAATAGAGAAAATATACAATGAACAAATCACGATTTGAAGATTTTCTATTTTATGAATACTTAGTAAGGCGATAGAAATGCGTTTGTGTCTATCACAAGTGACGCAGAGAAAGAAATTAATCAAGAAATACGAAATAAAGCAATATTCAGAATAAAAAAATACAGTTTCTAGAAAATCTCGATAATTTCCAGTTATTATCTGAAGAGACGGCACAAAAAGAATGTTTCTAAACAAATCAACAGTCGGTAATTAAAATGACAAACGATATGCAAGCGTCATTTCAAGTCTAATCTATATTTAATGACACCCGGTCTAAGATTTCTCTTTATCAAGAGATTTGGTGTATTTATGAAACAAAATAAATGACGTTATTAGCATTACAGAGATATCGAATAAACACAGCTATCCAATCAGAGTCCGACTAACAAAGAGTGGTTGGTGCAGAGAGTAAGGTCAGGAACTAAACTTGATGAAATGATTGTCACAGCTGTCACCGACCATATATATCTTAATGAATTCTCATTTTAGGCGCACAATATGACATATTATTATTCTATCATGATTAGAATAATACATATATGCATATTGCAGTTTATCAATATCGTACGGAAGTATGTAAGTAATGAAAATGCCAACACGACTATACAAGCATGACGCTGCATATTATCTACGTTCATTAATAAAATGCATTTGGCCTGATCGGGATATATTCATACAATATTAAGGTGTTCGTTGTTGAAAATATGCCGAGTCGGATATGACATTTGACGACTCAATAATTGAATACATTCTTTTTCACAAAAAAGTTTCAACTAAACACACAAGTTTGCGTCCATGGAATACATACGCCTAAAAAGATAAGCGCCGTTAATTTTTATATCTTCCGAACCTCTGTTGGTTATACATAATTTTACATCCGCCTCAACTTGATAGATGTCTCCGATATTACCAATAGATGCACTGATGTACGAAATAACTGAATGTCCTTCATCAGGATGGCAAGCACTTGGTAACATCACATGGATCAAATACACTTCGGAAGCAATTGAAAGGGAAATCAAATAACTATTGTCATAAAACAACATGTCGCCACATAATCGATTTCGTTTTCTGTTGTTTTTTATTATCTATATATGAGTATAGTGATTTGGATCAGACCTAAATATGTCGAGATTGCAAAATTAATATAGCTACAGTTCTAAAACAAAGGCCATTTGATATGGAAATGTGTAGCAGCGGTGCTTATCATTTTTTCGGGTGTAGATATAGATTTGTTGTGTCAGTGCATTAACTGATTAAGTTCGTGTTCTATGTTTTCAATGTTTTCGGGTTTTTTTGTTTTGTTTTTTTCAGGACTAATAAGGAGACGACGTCAGATGCAGACATTGTTGCGTTGGCATACATACATATATAAGGTCTGTCTCACAAGAGTCTGGCGTCGTCAACCCAGACAGCACTTTAAGTAATGAGTACGTCGACTATCATATTTTCTATATTACACCACTAATAGATTAATAGTTCATATTTTAATCTTAATGAT